CAGCAGATGAAACAGATCGGCTGAGTTTCCATGAAGGTGACTGCGATAATCCTGCACTTAGTGCTTGATCATCAAGTTCAGCGATGTATCCAAAAGTATTTTATTATAATTCAGTGGGCTCAGTATGCACATAAATAACACCACAGCTCATTTAAGCAGAGAAATAAAACCAAGCAATTCAGTAGGAAACCATTGCACATGCTCGCCGTAAAATACCGGTAGCATTTTTTAAAAAATAAAAAAGGTAATCTCTTAATGATTATGTTAATCGTGTGATAAAATGAAAGCCTTTAAATTGTTTTTTTGTGCTACTGCTTATCCAACCTTCTCGGTATTGATGCTGACATAAAAGCTATTACAGGCTGCAGGCAACGAAGGGTAGATTCTGGCTTGCTTTATTTTTATTATTAACTATGATGTCTAATAGCTAAAGTCATTTAAGTGGCACAAAACTGTTTTGAATTAACAAAATCTCCCATTCTTTGCCAAATTGTTCCCGTGGCACTTAATATTCACTGCAAAAGCATGTAGCGTGAAAACATGGTCATACTGATAAAACAAGTGGTCTTTTGTGCTGTGGACAGTACTGGAAAAATAAAAAAATAAAAATGCTGCATTAAGAACTATAATGGTGGCTTTTATTATTCAAATGCACATGGATTATTTTGTCTGCAGATGGCTACCTGATCCTAAACAGCATCTCAAAGCAGCATTAGTTTTTTCTCATTGTGTGATGCTGCAAAATGTGATGACTGGTTGTCATTTGTTGTTGTCGCACCTTCCAGATCCTATCATAAAACATGGAGAGTAGCTGATTGGTTTAGGGTATTGTTATAGTAATGAGTTTGTTGTGGGGTATTGTTATAGTTATGAGTTTGTGCCTTGACTCCCCTACATTCCTGGGTCTAGTGTGTGTTGGAGTTTAATCAATGCTTGGAGTGTTAAGATGGGCTGCCAGACACCATTCTATGAATCCCCAGAGTTCTTTGTATGAGCCTTTATTAGAAGACCTTAGATGGCGCTCCTAAAAGTTAGAGCCAGGTGCCCTTCAGATTTGGAGACTCTGAATTGTATCCATTGCTGCACATGTCTACTTATGCAACAGGACACACCTTTCCTCCTCTCCCCATCTGCACCCTCAAAATCTGCTCTGGAGAGTCCATCAACCCTCTGGAAGTGATTTTAAGGGTGTGTGATGGGGTTGCAGGGGAGAGAATGGGAAAGTTCCTTTGCTCAGACCAAAGTCTAGCAAAACAGCAGCATTGGAGCAGCCTACCTATTGTCATGAAATTCTATTCAGTATTGATCCAGAGCAGATTCCAATGTATAGTTAGCAGAGTAAAAACTTACACACATTGCAGGATTCCCCGAAAAATAGACCAAAGGCAATTGTATTTCACCCAGCAGAGCTTTACTGCTACTGAAGGCAAATGAGCATAATGGTCACAAATCCAATACATTCAGGATTGGCACTGTCCATAAGAAATCCAGTTGCAGCCGACTTAAATTTACAATAACTTATAATAAGACTAAACCTTACCATTAAGTATAAAGGTAAAGGTAAAGGGACCCCTGACCATTAGGTCCAGTCGTGACCGACTATGGGGTTGCGGTGCTCATCTCACTTTATTGGCCGAGGGAGCTGGCGTACAGCTTCCGCGTCATGTGGCCACACCATTAAGTATACTATGTACGAAACACCACACCAGAAGGAAGAGAGATAGAAAGAGAAAGTGAAGACCCAGGCTCCTTCTGGCCTATTATTATAGTCAGTATGACCTTGACAGAAGAGATAACAGAACCAGTTTAAGCCAGCTGTACTCAGCTTCTCTGAAGGAATAACCCAAACACCATGAACCTTGTGCTTGCTTCTTTCACACAGAGAAGCTTCCAGGACCCTCTTGAATTAATTAGAATAGCAAAGATCTCTACACATCGGATCAATGCTTTCTGTACTAAGAAATGCAAACTGGCCAGGACCATGAATTGTTAGACTGGTCACCAAGCATGGAGTCAAAACTACAAGACCATTTAGAGGCTTCCTTTCTGCATTTCTGGAAACTAAAAGCCACTTTAATGTGGGTTGAAGCCTTGTTTCGCAGTCTTGTTTCCGGACTGAGTTCCGTCTCGCTGACTGGACTGGTTTTCTAATGAAATTGGCCTAACCCTAAAGGCACTGCATAGTTCATGAAATGTTTTTAGTTGATGTGGGTTGGTGGGGCTTGTGTTTTGGCATCATTAATTGTTAGAAACCTAAATTTTTAACCTTTTCTTTTATATCCCATGACATTTTGAAACAAAAGTTCCATTGAAATGAGAGCAAAGGCTAAAAAAGTATTTGATTTTTTTATTTTTTTTATAATCGCAAATCCCAGTTCCTAGGGCAATATTAATAGGAACAAAAGGTCATTATTATAAACATCCTCCCTTTGAATACGTGTCTTACTTGAAATCCGATATGTTTTTCTGACCATGTTTGCCCCTATTAGCTAAATTACATATGAAGAAAGAGACTTGGTTGGGCTTTATTAAGTGAGGTTTTCCCTCACTTTGGTTTATAGGTACATCTATCTAAATAATTGCCTTGATTTTTTAGAATTACCTTATGTAGAAAGTAGAGGCAGAACATCACTTGCCGATTCAAAAATACAGGGTTAATTCTAAATAGTGCTATACTCCTAGCATCAGGAAACAATTTAAAAATTTGTTCTTTCCTTTTACAGTGGTGCCTCACAAGACGAAATTAATCCATTCCGCGAGTCTCTTCGTCTTGCGATTTTTTCGTCTTGCGAAGCACGGCTATTAGCGGCTTAGCGGCTATTAACAGCTTAGCGGCTTTAAGAAAAAGGAAACAAACTCGCAAGAACTCGCAAGACATTTCGTCTTGCGAAGCAAGCCCATAGGGAAATTCGTCTTGCGGAACGACTCAAAAAACGGAAAACCCTTTCGTCTAGCGAGTTTTTCGTCTTGCGAGGCATTCGTCTTGCAGGGCACCACTGTACTTTGCTTTAGTCTGTTCTGTGGTGGTTTTAACTTTTGAAATAAAGTCACAATAAATCACTCCCAATACAAGCTCAGTAGGGCACACTTTAAATACATGTTGAGCTGGTTTTTTGTGAATTTTCACATTTACAGTTGAATGAGGCTGGCTTACATTGCATCCTGAAGATCTCTGTATGCACAGGGAGTTAGATTCTCTTCTGTGGCTGAAGTGTAAAAAGAGTGGAGAAATAATGCAAACAAAGCCAAAACACATTTTTAGTAGAGTACTATCAGCACCTTTTGGGTATGCTACCATGTATGGCCAAGTATCTTTTTAAAGAGTAGAATTCTGCTAACACAGAATAAGGTGGGCTTTCTCCCAGCTCTCCACGGTTTCCAGTGGTGTCCTGAATGGATCACGCAAGTTAAATGTGCGCGAGTTGCAATCCTACCGTAGCCGCATTCTGTCCAGAGTAAGAATGCAGTAAGCCCAACAAACCATTGTGGAAACTCAGAGACGGCTAGCACCGTCCGACAGGAGGTTGCAGCGATCCCTAGCTGTAGCGTGCATGGTGGACAAACTCGCCTAGTGGTTTTCCTGCAGTGTCGTCTTTAGCGGCAGACACACAACAAGTAATGGTACTGCCAAAGAAAAATCCCATTGTCTGCTAGTATGACTGGAACGAAAGCTGAATGGCAAATTGGCCTTAAGCAAACTATCAATCTGACTTTGATAACCCATCACTTTAAAAGGCCCTTTCATGTTTATGAAAAAGCATGACGTCAAAAGCCGTGGAAAAAAATCATGAATCCCAAAAATGTCAGGCTAAAGTTGCACAGCCTCCCAAAAAGCCCCCTGTGTGAACAGTTTCTCTACATGCATAACTAATTAGTTTAGGTTATTATAAGCCTGAGCTGTTATACCCTGGTTGCTTGTGCCATTTTGGGGATAACTTGTTTACAGTACGTCCGTGGATGAGCCTTTGAACTGGAGTAGGAGAAAATTAAAGGAAAGCTGCCAAACTGGTTGTCTAGTTTTCTAGGAGTATATAAATGTCATGCTGGAAATGCTTGAGTATAATCATTACCAGGTGAGTTACCATATTTATTTATTTTTAAAAAAATCTCTGCACAGTTGCATATGCCTAAACCCCGTTACTTCCTTGGGGCTATGGGTACATGCATCCCCTCCTGCGTTATAATGTTTGTAATCTTAGAGTTATAGCCAACTAATTAAGACTCAGACCTCTTGAAATTAATGGGCATGACTCACCTAGGTTTGTTGATTTCAGTGTGTCTACTCGGAGTGTGACTTCATTCGATACAACTTTTACCGTAAAGTAGAATAGTAAGGGAGACATACTGTAATACGCTTTTTCCTATTTGTGCCTATATAGTTGATTTAATGGAATGAGCATTTTCTTTGTGTTTTGCTTCATTATTCAGCTGAAAGCCAACATTAACAGTTGAATCAAATAAGCCCATTTTAAAGCGATTGAGCCTAAGTCTCTGCGTATCCATGGTGCGCTTACTATATGAGCTTTAATGTTTGTTAAGTTCATTTTTCTACTATAAGAACCAACATAAATAATTGTGGATAAGTCAAATATTTCTTGTATTCCTTGTCAACATAATTTTCTATTAATGTCTTAAGTGTGATGATGATACAGATTTTGTCTACTTTCCAGCAATTTGAGGAAGGAAAGTTGAACTTTCGGGTTGACTTCATTCATCTTTATTTTCCCGTTACCTAAGTTCAATACGTTCCTGACATTTTGAAATTCTTACTTCGTAGGATTCCGCCTGTCGCCTTTTACAAAACCTGCCTTTGATTTTTATTTATAAGCAATGTGTTTGCCTTCGTTTACATGCATTTCTTTTTAACATCTGAACTTGCAAATGAGCTGTATTTCCAGGCGCAACCTAAGAATTTTCAGCGCTAGATGAATGTACAGAAACTGATGTTGAAATGATGAACGCTAACTAGGCGCCACCACCTTTTTATTATGCCTTTGCAGGTGCAGACTCACCTGGAAAACCCTACCAAGTACCACATCCAACAAGCTCAACGGCAGCAAGTCAAGCAGTACCTCTCTACTACATTAGGAAACAAGCACACCAACCAGGCGCTAAGCTTACCGTGCCCAAATCAGCCAGGGGATCATATTATACCACCTGGCACTGGAAGCAGCGCACCAAACAGCCCGATGGCCATGCTTACGCTCAACTCCAACTGTGAAAAGGAGGTAAGGAAGATTTTATGTTGTCTATTTGTGTTATCAGGGACGCGGGTGGCGCTGTGGGTAAAAGCCTCAGCGCCTGCCTAGGGCTTGCCGATCGAAAGGTTGGCGGTTCGAATCCCCGCGGCGGGGTGCGCTCCCGCTGCTCGGTCCCAGTGCCTGCCAATCTAGCAGTTCGAAAGCACCCCCGGGTGCAAGTAGATAAATAGGGACCGCTTACTAGCGGGAAGGTAAACAGCGTTTCCGTGTGCGGTTCTGGCTCGCCAGAGCAGCGATGTCACGCTGGCCACGTGACCCGGAAGTGTCTCCGGACAGCGCTGGCCCCCGGCCTCTTGAGTGAGATGGGCGCACAACCCCAGAGTCTGTCAAGACTGGCCCGTATGGGCAGGGGTACCTTTACCTTTTATTTGTGTTATCATCCCTCCTCCATCTAAACATGCAGATATTTATGTCATAGCAGTGGTTCACACACCATGCATCCTGATTTATTACAAATGTGTTGGGATGCGTCCAAGGGAACGGGGGCAATTCGCTGGCCCCCAGCTGGCTCCAGCCCACCGGCTGGCAGCCGGGCAATCTCTGGTCCGTGGCTGAGCATCAAACAGTGACTCACAGCTTCAGAAGCCTCCAGAAGCTTGAGCATGCTCTAATCAGCAGAGTGAATAACACGCAACAGAAGTGACAGATAGAGGCTGTGTAAAGCGTATTTACAGGCAGTTTATTCAGCATCAGGACGAAGGGGAAAACATGTCTTCTCCCCTTCGTGTCCAAGCAAACAGCATAAGCAAAAGCTATACACAAACGGAAGTTCCCAGCAAGCTGTGCTGTGCGGGAGTGTAAACAGGCATGTGACATACAACAATCATGCCTGGAATGGAATATTCTACCAAAATCCTCCCACTTCACTCCTTCCATTTACCGTTACATTGAAACCAGGAACCATGACTTGTTTCACTCAAACCAACCATGGTTTGTACACCTGGAACAAACACTAAGCAAGTGATCATTGTTTGTTGCTCCCGCTCACGCAAGGGGAGGAGTTAAGCAGGAGCCCTCTGTGTATTCCTTACGATGCATGAATGCTGCTTTTTAATTTACTCTTGTTAACAGCTAATTATGTAACTCATTTTTTAAGAAGGCAGAAAAAGTCGCGGTATTAATGTGAATGCGTCTGGTGTAAAAATATGCATTGCTTAACAACAACCAAAAAAAACCCTGTGCCAACCCTTAGCGAAATTATTTAGATTTTCTTTGTGTTGTGTTAGCATACATTGTGTGGAAGGATGCAACTGACCTTTTAGCATACAATGTCCTTCTTGTTTCTTTCAAAACTTTCTGGGATAAATGTTATTGTGACTTGGGGTGGATTCAGATGGCAGGATTCCACCACACAGTGACATTTTTGAATTGCCTGCCAGGGCACATACTTGGAACATAAGAAAAGACTTGTTATATGTGACTGTGGGTCTGTAGAGAATGACATCCTATTTCATACAGTGACTAACCAGATTTTCTGTTGTTCATCTCCCATGAACTAGCAATCAGTGGCATGCTTCCTCCAAACAGAGATTCCTTTTAGCTGTTTGCTGATAGGGAGGGAGGGGCCAATTCATTTGGTTTGCATTTTTAAGCGAACTTCCCGAACAAATACATAAACTGAAACATCGCTATCCGTTGAAATTTGCTTCTGTAATACTGTACAACATTCGGTTTTTAAAAACTATTTTCAAAAACTCCTATGCTAGGGGCAAGGGTACACAAAAATGCATACAAAATTCATTAAATCGTGGGGAACTGCTTCCAAATATGCCAAATGTATACCGCAAGGTGTACAAATGATTTTAGTTTGTGATTTTTGGAATGTAAGATATAGGAATGCAAAACATGCAAAGAATCTGCTTTTGTAATAATAAATATTACAACTAATTTTTACTCAGAGTAGACCCTACGGAGATAAATTAGTCATGTTCATTAATTCCAATGGGTCTGCTCTGAGTAGGACTAGCATTAGGTAAATAAATGATATTTATTTATATATGATAAATAAATGCGTGTGGTTTTTTTTTTAAGGTGTATATTAAGAGAAGCGCACATGAAATTACGTACAAGTTATTGTGTGGGCTGTTTTTAAAAATCACCAACGTGAAGAAATGGGATGAATGAAGTTTAGAAAAACGAGGAACAGTGTAGCTAAAACTGACAAATCCATTCATCCCTACCCTCTAATAAACCTATCTTCTTTGAATTTCTCTAATCCCCTATTGAAGCAAACTAAGCCAATGGTCATTTCTGCATCTTATAATGGCAAATTCTGTAAGTTAATTATGATATGCCAAAGCATTTTGCACATGGTTATTATAGTTTTGATGCTTGCAAACCACTCTGGAATCTATCCTGATGAAAAACATATAAATGTTTTAAATAAATGATACACACTTTTCTGCCTTTAACAAATTGTCTGGTGGCTGACCCAGCATTGTAATTTCATGATAATTACCCACTAACGCTCCAGTGTCTATGTGGACTGCCATATATTCCTTAACTTGCTGCTTGGTATGGCCAACCATTCCACTATTTACACACCCATTGGTTTTAACTATTAAAATCTGTTTTAAATACCGTATTGTTGCCAACTGCTTGCATATTTAACATTGCTTCCCTATATTATCATTTTCATTTAATGGATCTGTATGCTACTGGTCCAAATATTTTAATATAAAAACATTAAAAAAAACCCTATAACGTATCAAATGACACACCATTAATAACAGAAGCAGCAAAACACATTTCACTTTCTGTAATCCAGTTCCATCACCCACCCTCAGCCGCACCAAAATGGAAGCCCCTATGTGAACAAAAAAATTTTTTAGAGACCACCTAAATGATAGCATAGGGGTGCGGGTGGCACTGTGGTCTAAACCACCGAGCCTAGGGCTTGCCGATCAGAAGGCTGGCGGTTCAAATCCCCACAATGGGGTGATCTCCCATTGCACGGTCCCTGCTCCTGCCAACCTAGCAGTTCTAAAGCACATCAAAGTTCAAGTAGATAAATAGGTACCACTTCGGCGGGAAGGTAAACAGCATTTCCGTGCACTGCTCTGGTTTTGCTAGAAGCGGCTTAGTCATGCTGGCCACATGACCTGAAAAAAACTGCGGACAAACGTCGGCTCCCTCGGCCTGTAAAGCGAGATGAGCGCCGCAACCCCAGAGTCGTCTGCTACTGGACTTAACTGTCAGGGGTCCTTTACCTTTACCTTTTAAATGATAGCATGGAAGGGGCCGATCCTCTTTCTTAGGGCAGTGAATTTCACAACGGTGGGGCCACCATGGAAAAGGCCAGATTCCTCCGGCCTGTCAGCCTTTCTGTCTCCCTAGTTGATCTTCAGTCTGTGGCAGCCCTTTGAATAACTTGGTAGGAAGCTAAATAAGGCTTGAAAAGTCAAGAACAGCACTGTAAAGCCAACTTGGCTCCTATGGGAGCACGTTCCATAGCTTAACTATAAGCTATATGAATAAGTACTTCCTATTATCTGCCTTTGCACTTGTGCATATTAGCCTATACCTGAGTTATTTTGTGGAACTGAACCACACACACAAAAAGGTAGATGTTGTGGGATTTCATTACATTTGGGGGGGGGAGGATATTTGCTCCTAGGATTCCTTGTTAACAATTCAAGGAATCGGTGGGTGCATGAAGGAGAAACTTAGCAGAAGCTGCAGTCAAAATGAGCACCTAGTTTGTAATTTAGATGAACGGTCTCAAACGACAAAACTTCCATTGGGTCACATTGTTGACATCCTTCCGTCTCTGGAGACAATGGAGGAATACACCTTTGTGGGCGAAATCTAACTGTTGGAAGGTCACAGCGCCTGCTGTGGCTGTAGAGACTGATACGAGAGAGACATGTTTTGTTGCAGCTGGGGCGTATAAAGGCATCCAGTTGTGCTACGACAGATGCACCATGGAGTTTCTTCTCGCTGCACTCCTCCCAGCAGTCATTCCTCCTCTAGTCACTGCTGTGGATGCACAACCTGACTGTCTCCAGGCACTACGGTCGTCTGCAAGGGATTCCCACATGGCGGGATTGATGTTGCCAGCCTTCATGTCACATTTAGGGCTGTGCATATTAGCCCATTTCCACATAGCTGTAACACATAATTGGTACATAGCATATAATTGGTACAGAGAATGGGAATAGCTGCTATATGTCAAGTCAATTGCAGAATTGGCGTTCAGGGTGAGCCTGGATGGGCCTGGCCTACCTAATTATTTTAAACTGTGGTTCATAGTTCTCTAGTTATTATTCTGGCATTTGGTATGTTCACGACACCAGCGATTCTAAGGAAGACCGGCCCGCTTAACTGTAAACCCCCGCACATGTCTAGCCTCTTCTCCTTATATTTGTCATTTTTCATGTTTACAGGGCTTTTATAAATTTGAAGAGCAAAGCAACAGGGTGGAGAATGAATGCCAGACTCTCAACACACATTCTCGAGCATCTTGCATGCAGGTACTAGTCGACAAAGGGACGCGGGTGGCGCTGTGGCCTAAACCACTGAGTTTCTTGGGCTTGCCGATCAGAAGGTTGGTGGTTCAAATCTGCTCTGTGGTGGTGAGCTCCCATTGCTCTGTCCCAGCTTCTGCCAACCAGAAGTTCGAAAGCACGCCAGTGCAAGTAGATAAATAGATACCGCTGTGGCGGGAAGGTAAACAGCGTTTCCGTGTGCCCTGGCACTCATCATGGTGTTCCATTGCACTGGAAGCGGTTTAGTCCTGCTGGCCACATGACCTGGAAAGCTATCTGTTGACAAACACCGGCTTCCTTGGCCTGAAGTGAGATGAGCCCCGCACCCCATAGTCTCCTTTGACTGGACTTAACCGTCCAGAGATCCTTTACCTTTACTATTTGACACAGGAGCAGGAAAAAGGATGGTAGATACAAAGTCTCCTTGCAATCAGAAATAACAGCGTCCATTCCAGACTCTCTCTTTTTTAATGTATACCTAAAAGTGTGAAATGTGACTATTGCAGTCAGGCATAAAGCACAGACCATACATATCGCAGAACTGGCTGCGAATTGGCTAAGGTTTTCTGCCAAACAAACAATCAATCAGTGTCACTCTTGGGTTTTGTTGCTGTTAGTTTGTTAATGACTAGGAATGCCTGTAGTATTTCACTAATATACCTTTCGGTACAAGGGGCTTGTTCCTTCTGCTACTCTATTTTAAAAGGACAAGGAGAAAACTGTGCATGTGGTTTTGACTCTGAACTTGAGGGTACAGTTCTCCCTTCCTTGTAGCTCTTCCTCCCCACCCACCCCTACACTGCCACTAGTTATGCAATTAATGCTCTAGCCACTAAATTGTGAGTAGCTAAAGTTCTGGGCATCTTGCTGGTTAGTGTTTCTCTCTTCACATTGGTAGATTAGTACGCCTCCTCTTGAACATAGTTCCTATTTCTTACATGTCCCACTTTTCCATTACAGATGGATGATGTAATTGACGACATTATCAGTTTGGAGTCAAGTTATAATGAAGAAATCTTTGGTTTAATGGATCCCGCCCTACAAATAGCAAATACGGTACTTGTGTTTATATTCTGTGTTTTGGTGGGGTGTTTCGTTTGTTTTGCTGTTGTATTATTCAGCACCTCTATTTCAGAGTGCCTTTAAGGATGAAAGTTGAGTTTATTTGTTTGTTTAAATGTGGCAGGTTTTAACTAGCTGCCTTCCCCAGCTGAAAGAGTAATCAGTAATTCAGTCTAATCTAAAATAAATAACAATGCCTGTTTATTGCAAGCAACCATATTGTTGCAAAAGTTGGGAGCTCCTATCCCTCCGCTGATCGGTAGCAAGATTCCAGAGGGTCCCGGGCGTTGACCCAGGGTCTCTGTTTCTTTGAGACTCAAGACACAGTGGAGACTGTTGTAGCTTTAAGAAATAGAATTATTCGCATGTTTACATCTGAGTTTGGATGGCCATCTCAAGAGGGGCTTGTTCCCCACAGCTGTGCAGCACTGCAGCCCAAGGCATCTTTCGCAGCCTCCCTTCACCCAGTCTGCTAAGATGGTTCTCTCTTCGTCCTCCCACTCCTTCTTCTTCCCAGCACACCTTGCTAAAAACACTCTTTTCCTGTCACTTCAAACACACACACCCCAACACCTTGGCAACCTCTGTCTGCCCAGACCAGTGGATTTCTCTTAAAAGACCACCAACCCCTTTTGTCATGTTAATGAATTGGCTTATCCCTGGCTAGCTATGTGAAGATGCCTGGGCTTTCTGATCCTAAATGGAATGCAACAGCACTTGGCTTAGTTTTAATTAGCCAGCCTTTGCTTGCTTCATGAATTTATGAGTTTGCTCAAATTTCAGCTCTGACCCTAGAGATTGTGGCGAGCCTGCTCCTCCCCATTCTCATAACACTATTTATTTATTTGATAGAATTCTAGTGACTCTCTTGTAGTTCTCTGATCATAGGGCCAGTGTCTAGAACCAGTTTCTAGACACATCCTTGAAATCTGTGGCTTCCCCTTTTCCTGTTATTTTGGAAAGGTGCTTTTGTTATTTTGGAAAGGATTTTGACAAGGCACTGCCTCTGGATTTGGGTGAAGAAAAGCATTGGATTAGGCATTTCCCAACCGTTTCACCGCTATCAACATGCACATGAGAGAAGTAGTTGTAGTTAAACAGTTTTATGTGTTCCTTCTGTTTTCCTATCCACAAAATGGTGGGTGAAACAACAATGTCTAGGACAGGCCTTGATGAGCTATTGACTAGGAACACTGGCCCTGTGTGCAATAAGTAGAAGGGACTGGATTCAAGAGTAACGCCAAGTCTTAGTAAGCTTCAACCTCTAGAAGCACACAGCCACAATTCATGCAGTGTTTTGCCTGAAACAAGTTGTAATATCCAGGATAAGTTAACCTTGCTTTGGACGTACAGTGCCTTTCCCTAAGAGCTGTTTGCATTCTCAGTCTTAACATGATCAGTGGTAAGATGTCTGGGCTCCTAAACAGGAGGTATGCAAAATCCCTGCAGAGGAAGTAGCTTGCCTGCAGCCTATAAATAGTTCTACACTCAGAGAGAAAGAACAAAGATTCTGTTGTTTTGCAGCAAAGGTTTAGCCCCTGTTTGTTACATTGCAAGCTGTGCTCAATTGCTACTCAAGCATCTACAGAGATCATTAAAGTGCCATTTACACTAGGAGCATGAAATGCGAGCATTATATACTTCTGCACTGGCTCTTCATCTCTGTCATAAATCTCATTTAAGGTCACAAGTGGCTGCACGAAGACATCACATTAAACCATGTTTTTTCATGATTGGAACCAGACAAAGTGTGCGTATGGGAGGGCTGCATAGGAGCCAACTCATAGGGACCGAGTGGGCTTTGTCCTATCCAATAAAATATTTGAGGGGGCCACCCCCCAAAGTTGATGGGCATCGCCATTGAAGTGGTGTGCATCTACCACATCATGTGATCGATTATTCAGTGTGGGGCTTGCCTGCCTGCCTCCTCCAATATTTTATTCAAATTGGCACTCTTGGGTCAGTGGAGATTGGAAACTTTCACTTCTGTTTTTGATTAACCATGGTTTAGTGTTATGCCGGAAACCTAAACTGTGGATAAGTTTAACTAGTGGTTTGCTGGAACCTTCCTTCCAATTTCCCGGAAAATTTATTCTCCTCCAAAATTTGCTTCTATTCCCCCTGTCCCTTTCTTTGGGCACCCACCTTTACAATTTTGGTGGGTGCATGCTCAAGCTTGCCTTATTCTTGAGAGGTGACTGTGGGTGGTGTGGGTGTTTTTCTTTTCATTGAATGTGACCCCTGTGCCTCAAGCCACGTAGAACCATTTAGACCTTTATAGAACAAACACAGCACATTGAATTGTGCCCAGAAACCCAGGGGAAGCCAGTGAAGTTTGCACTCTGAGCAGCCCATTCTTAAACTGTGTTCTGAACCAGCTGCTGTTTCTGAGCATGCATCCAGTATCTCCTTATCCATACGTAGTATGTATCAGGGCAGGCCCAAAATGTTTTGTCGCCTGAGGCAAATCACAAAGTGGCACCCACTAGGGAAGAATAGGCGATTGAAGTTCTACATCAGAAACAAGGCGGGGAATTGGGATCTGCTGCCCCTATGGACCCTGCCGCCTGAGCCGGTTGCCTCACCTTGCCTCATGGGAGGGCCGGCCCTGGTGTGTGCCCTATGCAGAATTGCATTAGCAAGTGGCCAACAGTGCAAAAAGTGTTAGCCGTCATTTTGCTTCAGCTTTCTGCATCCAAGGGTCTCGTACGGGACACTGGAAATAATCCGTACCCTCCGTTGTCTCCCCCAGTTACCTGTCTCCGGCAATCTTGTGGACCTCTATGGCAATCAAGGCATGCCTCCCCCCGGACTCAACATCAGCAACTCTTGTCCTGCCAACCTTCCTAATATAAAAAGGGAACTCACAGGTAACTTAGAACAGTATGTTTCAAAATGTGCATTTTCTGATAAAGGTGCTCCTAGGAACTTAAGAATTCTGCTGAACCTATAAATTACTGGTAATACATTTATACCAGGAACATTGGATGCTGAATCAGGCCAGTGGTTTACCTTGCTCAGCATGGCCTACTCTGACTGGCAACAGCTTTCCAAAGTTTCCGTGTTTTCTAGCCTCACCTGGAGATCCCATTTATTGAGCCGCCTGCACGGAAAGCAAATGTTCTGCCACTGAGCTACAGCCCTTTCCAAATCAAAACCCTGCTGGACCGGACAGCTTAGCATCCGTTTCCCAGGTGTTGAAAGTGCTTCAAGTTAGTTGGTGCTTTGAATATACACATCAGGCACATTTTTAATCCATCATTAAAATGCAGATGTCTATAAGCTACGGATTCCAGCTTTTAAGAAGAACATTGGTTGCGATGGGAAAGAATTGGGCTGCTGCTTAATGTATATTTCAAAGGAGAAAAGACCAGCATTGCACACATGTCATTTTATTTTAGGGTATCAAAGTACAAAGCATCTCAGGAGGCATCTCTTAAGTCCAAATCACTCGCCACAGGATGCTGTGTAACAGAGTGGACACTTAGGGGTGCTGTCTACCAACCTGCCACAAAAGTGTAATTGCAGTGGGGATGCAGTGAGCACGGTCAAGGAGAAGGAAATCTGCTCGTTAATCTTTTGGAGCAAGCATACATTGGGGGGCGGGCAGGAATTAAGGGAATAAGGAAAAACTTTGACAATAAAACTTATTTTGTTGTTGGGCTCGCTATGGCTGGCCTTAATGGTTGCCATTCTTACTTCTGCCATTCATACTACATAGCGGTGGAAAGACTCGATGATTGTAGATCATTGAATCTGTGAAGACGGTGCTGGTCAGACCCATGGCAAATGGGCGGTTAGACGCTTGCCTTTTTAAATAATCTTTTAAGTTGCTCAAGGTTAGACCGTATCCCGAAGCAGTTCACATAGTGTACTCTGAAAATAAATAATCCTGTGTTGAAACATGAAATGTCAAGCTCTCTCAGAAAGTTCATTGTACCAGTCACATTGTACCGAGCTACAGTTGCATCTATGAATGGATGGGACAAGTCATGAGTGCAGAGCGGCGCTTCCATAATGTCTACCATTTGCCTGTTTTATTTAACGAAGGAAAAATAACAAGACTCGCAGCAGGCAGAGATAATGCACCATTGTGTTGTATGCAGCATCAGCAAGGAAGATGCTGCTTTTGTTCATTATTTTGTTTTTATAATAAAGGGGCCTGTATTGCCCTAACTTGGAACGTAAACTAAAAGTGGCCTACACAAAAGATGTACTATACGTTTTGTGTGCCTGACCTTCATAAACTTGTTAACTCCTGCATATGTAGCCCTTTCTAGTTTGGTTTTCATATTTAGGCGCAAGAGATGTTGGCTTTATTTCACTGTAGAAAGCAATGGCTTCCATGGAAAAGGACAAGAGTTTCAATATCCCTGGTTTCACTGCTGTCTAAAGGGAAAATGTTACTTCAATATCTTGCCCGCTTGGAAAACTTATTCACCAACGACTAGCAGCCATGTGCCTGGCCCTGAAAGTTTATGTTCCAAACTTGTTAATCTTCCAGCCTGCACCAATATTTAGGATGGGGCGTACTAAATAGGACTGTGTGATAATATGCTGCGATATTAAACAAGAAGCATTGCAAGGGTCTTGTGCTGATGCTGCATGCAGGAAGTGCATGTGAAATGTGTGAATGTTTTCTTGGCTTAACGCTGCCTTTCTTACATATCTCTAATTCTAATTACTTCGTTAACATGCATAGCATGTGTATTTCCAACAGAGTCAGAGGCGAGAGCGCTGGCCAAAGAGAGACAAAAGAAAGACAATCACAATTTGAGTAAGTTTCTTGTTTTTCATTATTTAATTTGTGAAAATAGGGGTTTAATATTCGCACATAATGTTCTGGAATTACTTTTACCACACAGTCCATATTGAAATAGGTTAAATTTGCCCTCTTAATTCCTGGGTACTTCCAGATGAGTGTATATTGTAAGAACAGTGCTCATCAGCCATGATGGGGTTTTTTTTGGGGGGGGGGTTGCAGCAACATGACATACCTTCCTCTATTCTCCCCTACCCTTTAATTTGGATTTTCCCTTTCCAGGAAAAATCGAGTAAGTTTAAAATAACCAAAACTCTTTGCAGATTAGGCCCCCATCTAGAAGCAAAACTCACCCATTTCCACAATGCTTGTGCAGTTGAAATTCCAGTGGCTTGTACTTTGCACAATTTTTGGTCAGCCAAGTACCTTGCTGAAGACGATGTAATTCTGAAGGATCTTCAAATGCAAGTCACAGAAGCCTTAGAATCAGCGGTTCTCAACCTGTGGGTCCCCAGATGTTGGTGGACTACAACTTCCATCATCCCTGTCCTCTGGCCTTGCTAGCTAAGGGTGATGGGAGTTGTAGTTCAACAACATCTGGGGACCCACAGGTTGAGAAAGGCTGCCTTAGATGCTACCTAGAGATCCTTGAAGAATTTGGATGCAAACTGACCTCACAGATCAGTGTGCAAATCAGGCCTTGGCAAACCACTGGTGCGCCTACTTCCCAAATGTCCCAACACAGTTCTCAGCTCAAAAACCATATCAAAAGTGAGGATTCTTGCAGAAAAATGGCATAACAGACCTGGGCTTGGTTCAATAATTCCTCCGATTTCCACTCATAGGAGGCTTCTGCAGGAAGAAGGAATAAAATATGCTTGTTGCCCTTCCTCTGCATCCTGTGCCTCTCTGGGAATTCTCAGTAACATTATAGGAGGGGCTATGGTGCACTATAGAGGGAAGGGATTATCAATGAACTGCATCCTCCTGTCCTCGTGTGGGAGCCTCTGCTGGATCTCAGTCATTTCTAGGAATGGAAACAACCCTTCCATTCATGGAATGGACACCAACCTCCTGACTGGGAAAACAGAATTTGATAGGACCAAGTTTGAATTTAGACAATGCTTGGGGATGTGTAATCTTACCAGAAAAGAGGGTCTGTGGTTTAGGAAAACATTGGGTATGTGGCTAAAGCAAAACAAGATTAGTCTTGTTCATCTTTAGTCATAGATTAAAAACCAGTAAAGGATAATAAGCATGTGCTAGTAAGTTCTAAAAGATTTCCTCCAATACCCTTCCTAGGTCGCTCAGATTAATCAGCAGAACTTTCCACTAACTTCCCATGGGGGAGTTGGATGATGTGCTTGGAAAACAGATGTGGCCTCAGACCTTTGTGGCAATTAAAAAAAGAGCAGAATGAGGTTTCTTCCTTTCTTCTTGCTCTTTAATCAATGCATCTCTGTGTCCCATCTCTACTTAAGTAAAATTCTTATATCTGCAGTTGTATTTTGCAAGATGCTTTCGACAATTATGTTACCTTTTGTGCTGTTGTTGATTACTAATTTGTGTTGATTCCTTAAAAGTTGAACGAAGACGACGATTCAATATTAACGATCGTATAAAAGAACTTGGCACTTTGATACCCAAGTCGAACGACCCGTAAGTACTGTCAATGTCCTAGAACGGGTTGTCAGATGCAAGGGGTGAAATTCTTTTGAGAAATTAGTGGATGTTCCTGCTATGTAGATGAACACCTTAAGCTCTGGAATACTGTTGTGACGTAGGGCATTTAATCCAACTGCATTTAATCCAACTGCATTGCCAGTTCCACATGCATATTCTATGAACATGTTTAAATAATAAACATAACCTGGATTCCTCAAAACTACAGGGAAAGGCAACATCAGCCACCCAACAAAATAGTGGATAGTAGTGAAAGTTTTGCTCAGAGTAGAGCTATTGAAATTAATGGAACTAACTTAGGGAGCAGCCCAAAGCTGAGATTCACCAGGATAAGCAAGTTAATATGCAGTGGATTTCCTGCTCAGGCCGACCAACTCCCAGTGCAGCCAAGTTATGCTCACCTTGGCTCATCCCTGCTGAGCCAGGTCAGTGGCCTTTATGCTGACGTGAGCCCTGAAAAATGGGCATTGCAGGAGAGGGGCAGGGGCTTAGGTTGGATCCTAACTTGGCAAAAGTTCTCCCCTGGAAAAAGGGTGGTGTAAGTCAAACTCTGTTTTAAATTCTTGCTTTCCTTCTGCTAGGCTTTGGTGGGCTCAACTGGCAGCAGCACTGCTCCTGAATGGAGTTTGGATCTGCTTTCTTAACTTTAACTGGCATAAATTACACTGGCTTCCTATACCTAGGATGGCCCTTAAACCATGTTCATTAGTTTCAGTGGGTTTACTCTGAGTTAGTTGAATACCATTGCCTGCTGCTGCTTTACATACCAAGCATAAAAGCAATGTAAAGGTAAGGTAAAGGGACCCCTGACCGTTGGGTCCAGTTATGACCGACTCTGGGGTTGTGGCGCTCATCTTACTTTATTGGTCGAGGGAGCCAGTGTACAGCTTCCGGGTCATGTGGCCAGCATGACTAAGCCGCTTCTGACGAACTAGAGCAGCGCATGGAAACGCTGTTTACCTTCCCGCTGGAGCGATACCTATTTATCTACTTGCACTTTGACGTGCTTTCGAACCGCTAGGTGGGCAGGAGCAGGGACCGAGCAACGGGAGCTCACCCCGTCGCAGGGATTCAAACCGCCAACCTTCTGATCGGCAAGTCCTAGGCTCTGTGGTTTAACCCACAGCGCCAACCGTGTCCCTTCAAAAGCAATGTAGGTCTGCCTAAAAGAACAGAAGGCGACTTTCCTATGAGAAACCATTGATTAGCCCCGCTTCCCAGCAAAAACCAAAAAAGTAGGCTTTGTTATTATGTTGTTTGAGTACAAACCTATTAAATCCTCACTTTTTTTAAAAAAAAAAAGATGGATTACACTAAAATGGAGCATATTAATGTAAATGCATTTTCAGTATTACAAATGTCTCCCCCCGCCATCCCCTCAATGCTGCTTCTTTACAGATTTGATTATTCACATTCCATCTTGCAGGGACATGCGTTGGAATAAGGGAACTATTTTAAAGGCCTCTGTGGACTACATCCGCAAGTTGCAAAGAGAACAGCAACGTACAAAAGAACTAGAGAACAGACAAAAGAAACTGGAACATGCCAACAGGCACCTTTTGCTCAGAATACAGGTTTGCTGATTAATGCATAAATATAATGGCGCTTCAGATGTGTGTGTGTGTGTTTTCCAGATTGCCCCCTTAATATTAGTCTGCCCTGAAACAGCAATCATAAGAACTACATTCAAATGATCATATATCAGGCAATGTAGGGTGAGCCTTTTGCTTGTGCATCCATCTCTTTCTCCTCTCCCATTGTGACACAGCAGAATGAAATGAAGACGTTTCAGTTAACCATAGTTTCCTGTTTCATCCAAACTGGAAACGATGGTCACCACTTTCAGAACAAACCAGGGGTTGAGCCACAAAGGCTTGTGCACATCTCGCATGGATAAGGCAAGATATGACCATCCAGGCGCAGTCAGTAAGGCAACATGGAAATAGTTTCCAGAAGGCAGAATATGTGCTTTCTAAACGGATACAGTATTCAGGACCAGCCCTAAAATTTCCTCACACCTTATTCAACTACCCCAGCAAGCATGGCCTGTGGTCCGGAATGATGGGGGTTGGCAAGAGCGCCAGTTTGGCCGTGGGTTCCTGGGGCCATGGGCTTTGTGGGTGCCCAGCCCCTTAATGGGGAATTTTGTGGGTGCTCAGGCACCCAGGGGTCCAGCGAGCCGGCACCTATCGGGGTTGGAGTTCGACAGCATCTGGAGGGCACTACATTACAGATACGGAACGTCTTACTAAACCACCAACACATAAAGCAGAATCCTTGCAGGGAAAAGTTGCCCTGCTAAATGATTTCACAAAATAAAGAGATCTAAAAGGGTTTCGATAGAACTGTGGCTCAGGGGAAGAGAGCAACTTCAGTGAAGGGGCGTTTCCCTCATTCCCACTTCCTCTCGCATGCACTGTGTTCTGTAACCAAGGAGATAGAAGTCGTGGCCTCATTCTCTGCGACAACAGGCAGTGCTCCAGAAGTGCAAGTGTGGGAAGCAATGTGTACTTCCCTATACCTGAACGGTAAAGGAGGTCTCCAATTATTTATTTACATTTTGTTTATATATTAAACATGCTTAGGCTCATCCTTCTACCTAGAGATCAGAATGGGCTACAACGCAGGAGAGCATAACAAGTGTATTGTAGGATATGAATGGGTGGACCTGTCAGTTTTGGTTTCTCTCCATTTCCCCCACATCAGTTTGTCATTTAAAGCACACACACCCTCATGAAAATTCACCAGCCTTTTTGTGTCTCTTTCTCCTAATAGGCACATTTTTGTACGCAGCTCTGCCTAATATATACACATTTTGGCAAAACAGCTTCTCTAATAAACTGGATGTTTGTATGCTGTTTTCAGTATGTATGCGTATCCAGGCACACGTTACCCTAGTTATATGCAATTTGTACACATTACATGGCACTGCAAAATTCAGAGAAGGGAAGATTTCGAAGGATGACTGTGTTTTGGTTTGTGCGTCATTTTGCAAAGTGTGACTTGGGTAGATGTGCCTTTAAATGTGAACTGAACAGGACTTCTCCCCCGTTTGTATCACAAAAGCATCAGGAACATTTAAAAAAAGTAATAGTGTGCATATTAGCTCCACTTTGAGGCCATTGTGTCAAACTGTAATGCAGAAAGTTGAATCCAACCAAGTCACTGTGGAAGCAACTTCCTCTCCCTCCAAGCCTCCCTACCTCAAGCTCTGATCTAGAGGGTTGTGGTCACATCCAGTGTAGATTTGGAGGGCAGGCACACAGGAGGAGGAGAGGGAGGGACCATTGTGTGGTCATTCCACTTGTGCCATGACCTTGTAGGGTGAAGCTCAGAGAATGCAGCAATAAGCAACAGTGGCGAATAGCCACTGGCAACATGGCAAACCTTTACAAAATAAATCAAGCCAAGCTTCTTCTCCTTTTTCAGCAGAGTGCAAATATCAACATCTAAGGACAGTTTTGTGTTTGTGTGGTAGTCTGGTTCCCAGCCTGGTTGCCCTCCCCACCACTCACACACACAGAACAGGTATTTTAAAACAAGCAGATACATTAAACATAACATGATGTCGGGGACTGGACTGAGGAGGAATGGTGGGGACCCCTCCTCTCTTCCTGAACTTTCCCAAGAAGAGGAGGACAGTATAGAATTACAACAGTGGTTTGCAGAAGGGAGACACTGGGAAATATTGGGAGAGCAGCAGGAAGAAGAAGCACCAGGGGGGAGACAGCTGACAGACTCAGTGACTTTAGACAGCATTCCTGACACACACACCCTTCTCAGGACCTGGCGTGCTTTGAGAGTAGTAGAACAAAAAGCTCAGAGGCAGAAAGCACAGGTAAGCCGGCGCAGGGATGACATAGAATAGGAGAGATTCCCTGAAGCCTGGCACATGGATTTAACGGTCTATTTTGCAGGGAAGTGTCCATTTCCAGAGTTGCCATTTCTTAATTAATAATTATTCTTCAAACACGTTTATTGTTCTTCATGGTTCTCCATCACAGGAACTTGAGATGCAGGCTCGAGCACACGGACTCTCTATCGTGCCGTCCACAGGCCTTTGCTCGCCCGAGATGGTGAACCGGCTCATCAAACAGGAGCCCGCCGTTGACAACTGCAGCCAAGAGGTCCTGCAGCGCCACCCCGACCTGTCTTGCACAACCACTCTCGACCTTACCGATGGCACCATCACTTTCAACGACAGCCTGGCCAATGTGACTGAGTCAGCTGCCGGCACTTATGCTGTCCCTACGAAAATGGGCTCCAAACTGGAAGACATCTTGATGGACGATACCCTCTCTCCTGTTGGGGTGACCAACCCGCTCCTTTCCTCATTGTCTCCCGGGGCGTCGAAAACAAGTAGCCGAAGGAGCAGTGTGAGCATGGAGGAATCTGACCACGCTTGCTAGTGAATGCAAATTAGAAAGGCTCTTTGTGGACTTCTTTGTTTCTTGATCAGTAGATTAAGTAATTTGCTCTGTTTTCTTAATAACTATCTTTTAATATAAACCTTCAAATAGCCCAGTGTATGTGACTTTTTTAATGTTTGCAGAGACTTGTATATTTTATTTTAAAACTACCAATGCTTCCAAAGTATTGTACTGCATCTGTGAACCAGATTCGCCAAGAGCTCCAAAGTGAGCTCATGTCTACTTGAAAGCAATAGAGTTAGACTGATCGCCAAGTCCATGATCCACAAAAGGTGAAACTTCCTGCATAACTGTAAATGATACCCATTGACGTGGAAATGAAACGTAGAAGAATGTAAAGAAACCAAAAAAAGGACTAGCTTTGTAAAACTATTTTTTTGTGTTGACTTAATAGTGCCTCCTTTTAAAGATACAGTACTTGTTAATCCAATTTAATCTTTCCCAAGGCATTAAATATAATATGTATGTCAGCGGGTCACCTGTACAGAAATTAACTCATGGTGATCTTGAACAAAGTACAAGCTAGAATGAAGTAGGGAGAGACACAGAGAGATATTTAATGACATTAGCAAGTGGTTATTTTTGTTCTGGTCTCCGGTGAGTGGACAACCTTCTAAATCATGGTTCAGGGTGTGTGTTTTTTAAGAAATCACTTTTAGTCATGGTAAGAAATCTACAGTATACTGGTATTTTAACAATGCAAGACTGGTGAATATTTCAAGCTCTTAAAAAAATCTTAGTACCCTCTGTCAATTGGATATAACCAATTGGATTTTGGTTTTTTTTAATTGCATTGTACAGTTACCTGATTTGCATGAATTTTTCACTTTTTTCCCATTCTGAGTACATTTGTATTTTATTTGTAAGAAAATGCCTCTAGTTATCGCAATGATTTTATTTTTAACATTTTAAAACCCCACAAAGGGGGTTGTTCTGCATTCTTTGTACACACTTCAAAGTAAGCTTTTGTGCAGGTTCCTGTCTTTTCAAGAGTGATTTTGTGACTATTTTATATATTACAGTCTCACTTGGAAGAAATGTTTTGACACCGACAGAGCTTTAAATCATAGTACAGATTTAGGTCTAGTTAACAAGACGATGCTCTGCATTTAAAAAAACATAAAAGGAAAAAGGAAAAAAAACACAACCCCAAACTTAACGTATTTATTTTTAGTGATACAGGACAAATAGAAATATGCTTGAGAAACACGGTTGCTATATCCTTTAGTGCGCTGTCAGATTTTTCAGGTTGAAAGAGGATTTTACTATATCTGCAGGTATTAACTGTTACTTGATCCCAACGTTGTCAAGTTTAACCATGCAACAGTGTTGTCGTGAGAGCATGTTCCGTGCATTATCTTCTCCAGCGTAGTCCTATGCAATAACAGTAGTGATACTTGTATGATTGTCATGCCTAAATATTTTATACAGTGGTTGTGTGGTCTTACCAGTTGAGCAAGTGATTTGCTTCCCGCCCTAGCAGCCACCCAGCTGACTTGCAAATGGCAGGGAAGCATATCTCATTCAGAGTGAAGTGCCTTAAATTTAGCCGTAGTCTCCGTGAACTAGCACTGACTGAAGTGTGCGACCCAAGACGGTTTGGGAGGAGGGGATTGCTGATGGTGGCTGATGGGTGGGGCACAGCGCTCGTGACGTGAAGCAAGAGCACCCAACTCTTTCACCCAAGCCTGTATGAATTCTGACACTATTTCTTGGACTTCTTTTCTGCTCCAGCTTTGTATCTGTGCTTTGGAAACCCAAGCTATAGGCAGCTGATAGTTCTTCAGAACGCTAGGGTGAAAGCATGGCGACAATCAGGATATGTTAAGGTAGATGAGTCTCAAAAGCAAACAGCTGCTGTGTAGTTTGGTTAAACATCTGTGAAACCACTAAGGCCAAATCATGCTCCTTTGTAAGTGCACCACTAACTTGGGGGAGCAAGACCTGGGCCTCATCTTTGCATCGCCAAGAATCCACATAGACCTGCCTTCCCTAAGTTGGCTCCCTCCAGATGTTTTGGACTACAACTTGCATCAACCAGCATGGAGTTGTAGTCTAAAACAGTGTTCCCCAACCTTGGGCCTCCAGCTGTTTTTGGACTACAATTCCCATCATCCTTGACCACTGGTCTTGCTAGCGAGGGATGATGGGAGTTGTAGTCCAAAAACAGCTGGAGGCCCAAGGTTGGGGAACACTGGTCTAAAACACCTGGGGTGCACCAGATTGGGAAAGGCCATTGTAGACCAAAAAAGAGAGAGAAATAACCAGAGGTGGGAACTCTAGTTTGAAGGATCAGGAAGCCATTTTCTCCTAACCTCAAAATATCTTCCAACTCAATAATTGCATGTGTTAGGGGTCCCCCCTCCATTTTGACTATTATCTGGCCAGTGGTAATGGTCACAGGTGACTGTTAATGTAGGAGTCAAAATTTGAACTGCCTTAGTGCTGACAGCGCAATCCTAACCATGGCTGCTTGGAAGTAAATCCAACTGAATGGGGCTTACTCCCAGGTAAGCGTGATTGGGATTGCAGTGTTAGCTTTCACAGCGAGTTAAGAATCCTGACCTGTTTCTTCTTTCTTTCTTTGGCGATCACTCGTAGCCGAGTAAGATTGTCTTCCATAAACACGGTTTTAACAATGAGTCCGTAAGTGACTGTGGAGGCAAGCGGGTGTTTGGCCCATCATTAGCAATGTGGTGCAAGTTACAGCTCATGAAAGGTTTGTTGCCATCTACAAGTGATGGAGTACCTGTGGTCTTCTAGATGTTCCAACTCCCATCTTACTGGACCTCTAGCCATGCTAATGGAGCTGGAATCTAAGAACATCTGGAGGACTACAGGTTCCCAATCCCTAAGGCATACTAGCAGCTGGAAGCTAGTTAGAATTTCATTGTGGAAAGGAAGCTTATTTTCCCCCCTGATATGGGAAAACGGGGTTCAAATTTTATCCCAGTCTGCTTCAGTGAAGTCTTGATCCTTAACAATGCAAGTGGCCTGTATCTTTAGAAGTAAAAAGTAGAGAACTACAGCTGTGTGTACCCTGTACATATTAGCTTTTCTAGATATTGGCTTCTTTTTTTACTTCAATGCAAACCATGTAAAATAGGCACATTAGGCAAGCTTACATATTTGCTTGTTTTGCACAATCTATTATGTTTCATTTGTCATTGGGACAAGGTGTCTACTTTAAGTGGGCATGTTGAAGCTCAGACCTACCCCCAGCCCTGTTCCTCAGAACACTGGACATCCTTTCTCAGGTTTCAGGCATTATTTATTTTCCCACACTGTCAAGCCTGTCTTTGCACAGCAAGGACTAGAAACCTGCTTTTAACAACGATAACAACAGCAGCCTAAGATTTTATAGGATGCTTTGTATCATGTTTAGGTACCATATTTTGTGGTTACAAATACAAAGCCCTGATTAGTAATAACAAATGAGACATAGTGCAACTGTTCAGTTAAGAAAAGCTTTTTTGCCAGTGTTCAATTCAGCAGTGTTTTTGGGTCAAGAAATAAAGGTTTAGTGTACCACTTGGGTCCTGATAAAATTGAACCCTACTCTGTGACTGAATTGCAAGTGTGCTTTGCCATGGCACATTGGGAAATGCAAACTTCCTAGTTTCTCTTGGATCAGATTTATGGCTCTTTTCAGCTGGATCATGCATTTCCAAAATCCCTTGGGCTTTCTCAACATTGCACGTCAACATTCTCCTTGGTTGTTTTTTTCTCTCCTCAAATTATGTTTGGAGCCCCTCTGTTTTTAAGGTGGAGTTTTCATATCACCCACATTGAAATCTTTTGGAGTGAGTAGGACTTCCAGAATTGCAAGCTTGGAATTAAGGTCTTGAATGAAGCCGTTTTATTTGTTTTATTTTGAACCAAGAGCTGCGGAACTGTTAGGCCTTAAAAGTGTGGTGCTTCTACAGGGGAAGAGATGCTGGAGACACTTGCCAAGTGGTAGGAAATCATGGAGCGTGTGGCTGTTCTGATATTTCTTCAAACCACAATGATTACACAAGCCCAGATGCCAAAACCGGGGAGCGAGTCATGACACGGCTAGCTAGGTAACACAGAGTACCAAGCAATTTTAACTGTTGCCAAAACCATGCAAGATATATTAGTGCCATGAACATGTTCCTTACTACTTTTAGATAGATAGATAGATAGATAGATAGATAGATAAAGCAATATTAACTCTGATGCCTATAAAGCCTTTAGGAAGCATATATGGAGAAAAATAAACAAAGCAAAGCACAAAATAATGCACTTACCATTTTTATTTTTATTTTTTTTTGGACATAAAATGCACTGGTGAAAAATGGAAATTGATGGTATCAAAGGCCTCTGTATCTTGAAAAAGTGACATAAATGACTGCCTCTTGTTCTGGATGCTTAGTACCATGCTGTTAGTGATCTTTTCACCTGCTGTCGGCCACAGCAATAAGTTGTGTATGGTCCATCGCACTGTAAATTATGGATCAATATTAATGTAAGCCAATTAAATAATTTGAACTGTTCCTAATAGATGGATTAAAGTGTTTGGTTTTTCGCACAACGGCTACATAATTTGTGCACGGTGCCAATGAAATACTTAGCATTGTGTGAACCAATGGACTGTGTTTCCAGCTTTGTGTGAGTTTGTGTGACAAAGGAAGCATCGGGCTGAAGAAGAAGGGACCAGCTTTTGTTCCTGCACCATCTTTCCTGTGACTTCTTGACACTGTCTCTTCGGCAACCATTTAGTCTTCCCTTGGATCCATTTAAATGACAACTCAGCACACCGTGCAGAACCTTTCTCTCGCAATCCTTTTTATATATAATATTTGAATGCAGTATATGCTGGTAACGCTTTTAAAGTTCACACTTGAGTTTGCGGTGTGTGAGGGTGATAGCTTTCTGCCTAAGCAGCTGCTTGCACCCCTCCCACTCCCAAATTATCCAGACCCTTTGAGTATCCTGATTTAGTCGGGACATCACGGATCGGCAGAAGCCGCCCCAGCTTCTGTTCCCAATCCTGAATGTCCTGATTTTGGTCCCTCACACTGGTCGTGCCAGAGCAAGGGACCAAAAGACGGGAGGCGGCTGGCCTGCTAGAAGGTTGGCCCGGCCTGCACGTCTTCTCCCGACATCGCACAGGCTGGGTGCTGTGGAGGCGGACAACTAGAAAAAGGAGGGAGCGAGCGAGGTGAGTGAGGAAGGGGTTGGTGGCAGGGAGGGAAGAAGAAGAGGAGGAGTTTGGATTTGATATTCCGCTTTATCACTACCCTCAGGAGTCTCAAAGCGGCTAACAATCTCCTTTCATTTCCTCCACCACAACAAACACTCTGTGAGGTGAGTGGGGCTGAGAGACTTCAGAGAAGTGTGACTAGCCCAAGGTCACCCAGCAATTGCATGTGGAGGAGCGGGGAAGCGAACCCGGTTCACCAGATTACGAGTCCACCGCTCTTAACCACTATATCACACTGGTATACACGAGGAACAGGGTCAGCAGGTTGGGGGCTGCTCCAAATTGCCCTCCCAAAATGTTGGGGTGGGGTATGAATTATCCCATTGTTTCAAATACCCAGACTGAATTCAGATGGGCTTACTTCTGAGTAGACAAATGAAGCCTTGCAGACAAGGCCTGAGTAGACAAATGAAGCTTTATAGTCTTCTCCCCTTCCCTGAAGTGCTGCTTGTTTTGCATCGAGCTAAGAGACGAGGCCTTTCCACATTTTATTCTCTTGAACTGCAGGGTTTTTTCACTGCTCCGTGTTTGTTGTTGTTGAGCCGTTTAGTTGTGTCCGACTCTTCATGACCCCTGTGTTTAACAGCTTCCAAATCATTCCCTCTCTCTCTACAGACTACCCTCTGCTTATTGGCTCTGCTTTGCAACACCAAATGGTTTTGCCTGCCCAGAATGGGTCCTTCAACTCTGGTAATACCTCATGCATTTTGGGGATGGAGGATAGCTGTGTGTGTGTGTGTGTGTGTGTGTGTGTGTGTGTTAGCCTACTGTAAAAAGGTAATAATCTGCACCCATTGCTCTTGTCAACCTTTGCTTGTGGCCCTGGCTGCCACTTGGATGTGGCCCTCACAAGGCTGTCCAGAAGAGAATGTGGCCCTCAGGCTGCACAAATTTTCCCACTTCTGAGGTCTACCATGTCCAGATGCAAGAGGGCAGGGCTGCTGCTCTTATAACAATTGTGTAGAAGAGAGGTGCCGGTCTCCTTTTTGCATCAGGCCACCCTGTCCCTGTGGGATGCAGGTGGCGCTGTGGTCTATAAAACAGGGCCTAAGGCTTGCCGATCAGAAGGTCGGTGGTTCGAATCCCCGTGACAGGGTGAGCTCCCGTTGCTCGGTCCCTGCTCCTGCCAACCTAGCAGTTCGAAAGCACGTCAAAGTGCAAGTAGATAAATAGGTACCGCTTCGGCAAGGAAGGTAAACGGTGTTTCTGTGTGCTGCTCTGGTTCGCCAGAAGCAGCTTAGACATGCTGGCCACATGACCCAGAAGCTGTCTACGGACAAACGCCGGCTCCCTCGGCCTATAGAGCGAGATGACCACCGCAACCCCAGAGTCGTCCGTGACTGGACCTAACGGTCAGGGGTCTCATTACCCTGCCCCTGCATCTCCTGGGCTAAAGAACTCCTAGACACGGAGACATGGTCAAGAAACAACAAAATAAGTAAATCATTCAAGGATCCAGGTTACCCAGTTCGTTGAGGGTTCCTCATGTAACTTCATGCCAACAATTGAATCCCAAAGTGATTTCTAATACTTGAGTGCACTAGAATTACCTCAAATAATTGTGTATACCATTGAAATGCACTGGGATTGCAGTTCCATAGATGTGATTCCAAAACTGAAATCGAGTCTGCCTAAAAATAAGAAAGCCATCTTGCTGCTAATGCACATTTTATTTGTTTCACGTAGGTTCATTTGTGCCATCTGGTGGGCTCAGGCCAGTATTACAGATGCATGGTGCAAAATGTTGGGCAAAGTGAGAAATGTGTACAACCTTTTTAACCATATGAAATACATCCAGGAGACCCAAATCTTGGTTCAGAAACTGCTCATTTTTATGGGTTTGAAAAAGCCCCATGGCACAAACCAACTGCCATTTTCCAGGGCGCCTTATAAGATAGAGAAACATTTGAGTAGAACAATGAGCAGTATGTTGAGTACACATGAGCAGTAGGTTGGTGACTTCTGACATAAATGGCAGCTGTATATGTAACAGCCGGAGGGGGGGGGAGCAATACAGCAAGCGTCTAACAACTGAGTTCATTCAGAGTGTCAAATCCCTCCACGTCATCATATATCAACTCAACTAGAGTCAGGGCTTCTCGACTGCGGCTCCAATCTGGTGGAATGCTCTGTCACAAGAGACTAGGGCCCTGCGGGACGCTGACATCTTTCCGCAGGGCCTGCAAGACAGGGTGCAGCCTGACTCCCTCCTCTGGCAACCTGCGACAGAATTTTGCCTATCGCTAAGTTGCCATCAATTTGATTTTTAATTAATTTTTATAATGAAATATTTTTGAGAAATGTGTGATTATTTTGAACCGGGGAGAGGGACCCAGAGTAAGAACATTCAGCGAAAAGGTGGGACAGGGTAGGAATTAAGTTGGGTACGGGGGCGGAGCTCGACGGAGCTTCGCCGGTTAGCCATAGACGTAGAGTGCACGCAGCAGCTTGAGAAGGAAACTGTAACCATAAAGCTTTACAAGGACCGCTGGCTAGGCGTGATCCTCGTGAGCTAGGACTGGGCAGCTCTAGAAATATTTTTAGAATGTTGATTATTGACTGTTTATTATTTGATTGTTGTTAGCCCCTGACCCGCTTCGGCTGGGGAGGGGATATAATAATTTTTTTATTATTATTATAATAATAATTAATAATAATTATTACTATTATATGAGTGTATCAGAGAAGGCCAGTTTGAACCAGCTGGTTTCTCATTTCATTTCTCCCTCCCAGTGGAATACCCAAAGCCACGAATTGGGGGGGGGGAAGCAAATTCTACTGCCCATGGTTCTTGAGAAACGGCTGCTACAATCGAACGATAGCAATCTGGGGCAACCAGAACTGGGGGTCTTAATTCCTGGAATCCTCAGGCCGGTGGTCATTGGTGAGCCATGGGACTGGTAGGGAGCAAGGCAAGGAGACTAATAGTGGATGGAGCCAGAGCCAATGAGAGACAGAGCCAGGAACAGACCTGAAGGAGTGGTAATTTGTATTAGGTAAAGAGACCCCTGACCGTTAGGTCCAGTCGCGGACGACTCTGGGGTTGCGGCGCTCATCTCACTTTACTGGCCGAGGGAGCCGGCGTACGGCTTCCAGGTCATGTGGCCAGCATGACTAAGCTGCTTCTGGCAAACCAGAGCAGTGCACGGAAACGCCATTTACCTTCCCGCCGGAGCGGTACCTATTTATCTACTTGCACTTTTGACGTGCTTTCAAACTGCTAGGTTGGCAGGAGCAGGGACCGAGCAACGGGAGCTCACCCCATTGCGGGGATTTGAACCGCTGACCTTCTGATCGGCAAGTCCTAGGCTCTGTGGTTGAACCCACAGCTCCACCTGCATACTACTTATGTCTTTATTGATTGCTTGGTTGCAGTCATGTCCCACATTTTCTCCAAGGAGTTCGAGGTGAGGTCCATGGTTCTCCCCGTTTCTCATTTAATCCCCATAAGAACCCTGTGAGTTAGGTTAGGCTGAGAGGCAGCGACTGGCCCAAGGTCCCCCAGTAAGTGGGGATTTGAACCCTGGCCTCTCAGGTTGTAGTTTGGCATTCCACACACTGGCTCTCTACTTGGAGAAAGGATGCAAATTTTCACAATACGCACAGCTCAAGGTACAGCCAAGCTTTTATTGGAGGGAAGTCAGACGGGGAGTAGGAATGACCGTGGGTGGCAGGTAACTGACATGCCTGAGGCTTTAGTTGAAGGTAGATCTGTGTTCGCGGGCTTGGCCCAGCATGCCAGATTTGTTATTTCTGTTGCACGTTGCAGCTTTGCATAATTTCTCTGACAAATGCAGAACTAATGTGACATCCACACACCACATTAGATTAGTTCCATATGATCAGTTCTAATCCAATGAAGACCCAATGAAATTCATGTTGCTCTAATGCGAATCGTGATTTAATACTCCAATTTGTAAGTACTTTTGTCTGGATGTAGCATGTAATTTGCATCACCGGCAGCCTCGGCTCAAGACAGACAGTGGCTGAACACTGAGGACAAGACTGCCTGATTTATATCTGTCTGGAAGAAGGGTGTGGGGGGGTGGTTTTTGACAATCCCCCCTCTCCTTGACAGCTCCCTTAAAAGCTGCTCTAGGGGTTGGGAACACCACCGACACCCCTTGAACAGTGTGGGAGAGGCTAGAGCTGCAACACTAAAGGCCCAATTTCTAGTCCAGACCAAGAACACACGTGGGAACTCTAGCAGTGCCCTGTCTGAGGAGCACAGTTGACTGCTATGGATATATGGAATGAGGCACTTCCTTAAGGTAATCTGATTTATACCAG